TCTAAATTCCAAACGAGTAGGGTGACCAGAAACCCACAGCGTTCCAGATGAAAACATACAGGAGCAGAATGAAATGTTCAGTACTTTTGTAATTCTCATCCTGATAATCCTAAATATGCTGTTTGGGTCATAGACACAGGGGTGTGGAGAGCCAGTGGGATGAACAGGCACAGGAAAGCTTTCTTTCTGTTACAATCGGTAACTCAAAGGGAGACTGTCATCTTCCAAGTCTGTGGTTCTGAACCCTTTTTTTCCCCTTCTGCCCCAGCATACCGGAGAAATTGGCACACTCTCGTTGGGTGGCTCACCACTCCCCCCGCCCCCCACCCCGTCATTCTCGACAAAGAAGAATCACTATAAATATGGGATGGATTACTACTCCCTAAACGCATTTCAGTGACGGGTTCAATCGCCTAAAAGCTTCCCGCAACTTACTCATAACCGTCATTTGGATCACCTGTCCCTCTCTTCTGTTTCCTGACTTTACCCTGATTTCCAATACCAAAATAGTCCTCCTGTTCCATTCAACTAAAGGTTTTGTAGAACAGGTGATGAACCCTGGCTCTGCGTTAGGCAAGCCTGGACCCTTTTACAGAGGTAGTACAGTGAGAGTGTACAAGAGAGGGTCTTAAAAAAAACCACCACCTAGATATCCGCCCCTTTATCAAATGTGACTTTGGGTAAGCTACCTCCCCAGCCTCACTGTGCGCCTCTTTATTAACAACTACTCAGAGGGCCGCTGTGATGAGTACCACGGTGTCTGGCACACAGTGAACGCTCAATAAACAGTAATTATTACCACGACTCCAACCACCACATGAAAGTAGCTAGCGAAACTCAAGTGGCGCGCACAAGACCGAGAAGGGACGGAGAAACTGCATTCGGCGGGGCTATCGTGCCGGCGGCACGGCAGAGGACACCAGGACGCGCCGGCGAGAACTCTGAACGCGGCAAACTGTTCAAGCAGGAGGCGGGAAGTGGGACAGCCGGCCCCGGCGCTGCGCCGTTCAGCGGGGCTCCAAGGCAACGCCGGGACTAAGGAAGGGAGGGAGGCCCCGGCCAGTCTCTGACCTTCATCTCCCGCTCTGGGATCATGGCATCCATCTCGTCTCCCATCGCGCCACCCCCAGTTGGTCGAAGCAGCCGCCGCTGCCGCCCGCGGCCTTGCCCACACAGCCCAGGCCGCTCCGAGGCCAACTTCCTTCCCTCACCGCTGGCAGTGCGCAGCGGACTCCGCATTTCCGGCGCGCTTTGGTGATGTCACGCGCCCGGGGCCGCCGCGTAGTCGGAGGAGGGTGAGCGACCATCTGAAGTCGCGCGCTCTCCTAGCCACCGCTTCCCTTTGGCCGGGTACGGGGCGTAGCCCGGGGCCGACGCGCCTGCGCCCTGAAGCGCCCAGAGCCCGCCCCCGGCGTCGCCGCTAGAGCTGGCTGGCGGCGTGTTGGGTCGTGTGGTTGGTTGTGCGGCACCCGTTCGATCGCTCTGCGCACTTTGTGGCGCTGAGACCCCGCAGGAACGGTAGGGTGTACGTGGTTATTAACAGTCTCCGAATGAGAGGAGTTAGGAACCTGACAAACATCTCCAGGGGGCAGCTCTGGAGAGAGGCTTTGGAGGGGAGCGAGGAGGAACAGAGGTTCTGAAAGTGGGTGGGTGGGGCCTCGGAGGACTCTTCGGCTCGAAGGGCAGGGCAAGGGGTACCAACATCAGCTTCGTCTACTCCTTTCAGGGTAATCATTTCCCAGGCGAGAACCCGGGCACTGCGCAAAAACACTTTCAGACGTTTTATTTAAGCTCCAAGACGTCCTAGTTACTGAGGGTGGTTGATCGTTGCCATTTAATTGATGAGAAGTTAAGACAATTCCCCAGTGCCCCTCACTCACAAAGTGGTGAAGACAGGATTAGAATTCAGCTTGTCCGGATATGTTGATTGACGACAGTCTTCCGTACAGGTGTTTGTATTGAAATTATAAATGCTCTAGGACAGAAATTCTTAATCTGGAGCCTGTGGGTTAACTGGAGGGGCAGGGGGTATTTTCTGCCACTTGCTGTTTGGTTTTCAGCAAATTGCTTATTTGCTCCAAGCCTGCTTCACATTTTTTTTAAAGCTTTTATTTATTTGAGAGAGCATGATGGGGGAGGGAGAGGGAGAAGCAGACTCCCCGCTGACGTGGGCTCCCTCCTTGGACCCTGAGATCATGATCTGAGCCAAAGGCAGACGCTTAACCACCCAGGCACCCCAGTTTCTCATTTTTTAAATAAGGATAACATAATAGAACCAGCCTCATAGGGCTATTGTGAGGAGTAAATGAAGTCCAGTATTTAACAGAGCCTGGCACACAGGACACATTCATTAGAGCTGTTACTATATCAGCTATCTTTTCTGAATTTGCTGAGTCTAGGAACTGTCCCCAAAATACACAAGTCAAGACATTGATAAGTTTGTTTTATTTCTAGTCTGTAGAGATGATATCTGGCGCGCCACACTCACGCACGCACGCACGCACACGCACACTTATCCACCTGAACGTGCCCGGCAAACTCCTTCCTTTTGAGTCACAGGGACAAAACCATACTTGGCAGTCCCCGAGTTGCTGGTTACATTAGATTTGGTCTTTCAGAAAGAAGACAGCTGAAGTTCTAAGAAGCTGAGCCCTTAGCCAGAGAAGTAAGTCCCAGAGCCAATAGCCACAAACTGAAATACACGCAGACCACGCCCCTTTTCCAGGGACCACTTTTGAGCCCCTCTCCCTCCAGGAACTGAGTTCTAGTAAATGGTGGGGGGACTGGTGGTGTTTCCCAGGACACCCCCCCTTCCAATGAGAGAACTCTCTTTCCTGCCCTTTCCAGAAGCTGGGGACACACCCACTTATCCACCTCCCTTAAAGGAGGCTTCCTACAGTCTTGCAAACTGTGAAACCTGTTGAAATAAGCCTGGTTGCTTCTGCCCTCCTTTCTGAGTGAAGAACAGGTACACTGACTATAATGGGTAGTTAAAGAAGGTATTACCCTGCTCAAAGGTCTCAGCCTGTCCCAGAGAAGAGAGGCCAGTGGTAAGGGGTGGGGGGCAGGCAGTTGTTCATCTAATGATCTGGGTGGGGGGAGGGAGAGGCAGAGGAGGTGCTGGGGTGAGATTTTACATTTACAGGGAGAACTGTTTTGCTGGGGTTTAAACTTCAACTAGGTTTGTGCATCTGAAGCTGCTCCTGAGGCTGAAGATCAGCCAGTCATGGCCAAATAATCTTGTTCCTGAACTGGTTGAGACCAGTGGATTAACCCAACCTTGGCAATTCCCCATGCCCTACCTGCTCCATTCCCTCAGGCTGCTGCAAGGGAGCTCCTTAGGCCCTTGATTATGGGTCACTAAGGAGCCACAAGCAGCCCACACTGACTCCCACCTCCAACAGCAACCTGACGTTTCCACTTAACGTTTGACGAGGGCTTCTCCAAGATTCTTGCTCAGTCTTGGGCCCAGGATTGCAGTGCAGTCACCCTACAGTCCCCTCTTTCTTAACATCCGTCTCACTGATCGTTGTCTGGTTCTGACTTCCCCACTAGACTAAAATTCCACGAGTCTGTCCATTTTACTACCTGGTTCTTAGCTCTTGGCCCATAGCAGGTGCTTAGTAAATAGATTCAATGGTTGAGTGCATCTAAGTCCTGAGTGGGCAGGGTAAGGGACTCCAGAACACAGATGGGGTCAAGGCTGGGGTCCCTGCTCAGCCAAGATGGGGCTGAGTGGGACACCTTCCTGCTTGAGTTCTGAGAAGTGGCTTGGCGGAGAAGCTCTAGGGAAGGCAGAACTGCAGAAGCAGCCAGGCCCTTACCCAAACCCCCTGGTGCTGACATGGAGGCACTGGGAAGGGTGAGTCCTGGCCCAGGGCCTTCCCCAAGTACTCACCTGGGAGATTGCCCCTCCCCATTCCTTCTCTCATTTTCATCACTGAGCCCAGACTAGCAATGAGGATGGGCATGGCATCTGAACAGCTGGGTTCCAGTCCAGACTTCTGTCTCCCGATTAACCCCTTGGCAAGGCACTTAATCCTTGTAGGCACCAGTTTTCCCACCTGTGAAATGAGAGGACCGGTCTAGCTAACCTAGAGAGTGGATCAGGGCTCTCAAACCTTGGGAGTCCATCATAAGGGACGCCAATCCGATCCCCAAGCTCAAGGTTTTGGGTGATTGGAAATGGAGATTAGGGGTTGAGGGCAAGGCACATGTCAGGACAAAGTGGGGGGACTTAAAGCTTATAATAGGTGGTCAATAAATATCCACTGAATGACTGAGTGAGTGAATGAATGAATGAATGAATGGAGTAAGATGGCAAGGCAAATAGGGGGAGCCAGTCAGGTTTCAAGCAGATTGGGATCAGAAAGGCCACCTTCTGTTTCTCAGCTCTTGGCTTATTAGTGGTGCTGTTTGCCATGAGCATTCTGTTCCTCCTCCTATCCTGTTGTCCTCAGCATCCTCCCCAAAAGGTGGCACCAGACCGAACAGACACCCCTCCCAAGGCCCCTCGCCTCCCTTCTACTCCCAAAGCCCTTTGCTGCCCCAGCAAAGGACACGGGGGCTGCACTTTCCCTCCAAGCTGCCTGTAAAGGTGTGGCTGCGGGGAAGGCCAGAGGATTCCTTCTGGAACCTTCTTAAAGGGCTCAGATCACCAAGCCCCTCTCCGTCTCTCCTTCTGTCACCTCCCTGAGGATGAGAAGTGTGGACTGGGGGAGGGGGTCAGCGGGGGAGGTGAGACACTGAGTGGTCATGCCCTAGACGACTCAAGAGCAGGGAACCACAGAGCTGTCTGAGAAAAGCCTGGTTCCCACTCCAGGGTCTTCTGTGAGTGGGCTGTGGTCCTGACCGGGGCCAGGCCAGCAAGCCTGGACTTAGCTCAGGGACCCTGGAAGGCCAGACTATGCCAGTTCCAAGCATGAGGATCACAGTCTTCCAGTCTCCCTGGCCAGGCTGCCCCCTCCTGGTTTTGGTTTGATGTCAGCCCTTCTGCACAGGGAAGGGGGAAGGAGGGGAGACGAGAGGGAGGGTCCCCAAGGCTCAGAATTCCCTGGCCCAGGGCCCCTTTAAGGCAGGTAATTTGTGCTTTACAAAGATATCACTGATTTTGCTGGTTGAAAATGAAACAAACGCATAATGACCAGACAAAACAAATAAGACAAATCACAATGAATCAAGAAGGGCGGCAAGATCAGGGAGGAGGAACGGGGGCAGGTCCAGACGGGGTTCCTCAGGGCAGGCTGGCAATGTCTCTCTCTGGAGGGGGGCCAACTGGCTTGGGGCTGCTCTCATTGGCTTTTCCTTCAAACATCATGACTCTGGTTTGGAGACGGAGGTTAAAAAAAAAAAAAAAAAAGGCAGGATTAGGATTCCTTCCCTCATCCAGGGAGAGATCATCTCAACCCTCATGTCTGCAGGGTCCTCAACCGGATGCCCTTGCATCCATTCTCCAGTGGGATCTTCTCAATGTGGAAGGGGCTGCTAGTCCCATTTCACAGAACAGAAAACTGAGGTACAAAGATCTCTATATTCTAGGTCATGGGTCTTCCCCTAACCACGTTGCCTGAAGGAGGCAGAGCTAGGCTGGGCCATGGCTCTGCTCAAAACCCCTTCAGATCTCCAAAAACTTCCCAAGGTTTTAAGAGTAACATCTGGGGCGCCTGGGCGGCTCAGTCGGTTAAGCGTCCAACTCTTGATTTCGGCTCAGGTTCTGATCTCAGGGTCATGAGATCAAGCCCCAAATCAGGTTCCACTCTGGGCATGGAGTCTGTTTAAGATTCTCTCTCTCCCTCTCCCTCACCACCCCCCTACTCTCTCTCTCAAAAAAAGTAGCATCTGGGAAGTAGAGGATAGGGGTTTGGATGGAGCCTCTGGAGGGAAACAGCCTGATAGGAATCCCAGCCCTACTATTTCCCAGTTGGTGACTCAAGCAAGACACTCGACCCCACTGATGCTCATTGTTTCAATCTGGAAGTAAGGATGCCCAAAGTGCCAACACCCTAGAGCTGTTTCAAGTACCCCACGCCTCCTGTAGGCACTCCTTGGGTGGGCTCTTTCTGTCCCCTGGCTATAAATCCCATCCAAAGGGCGACAGTCCACAAGCAGCTTACCTCCGAGCTGATCTGCACATCCAGGCCCTCCTTGACCTCTCCCCTTGGATGTCTAAAGGACACTTCTAACTTAATCCATCAAAAACTCAACTGCTAATTCTTCCCCGCCTGCTCTTCCCCTAAAGCAAACAGCAATGTCACTCATCCCAAACAGATCAGGATCATCTGACTCCTTGTCCGTTACACTCCGTATCTGGCCATTGAAGCAAGGCTTCCAGCTCTGTCTCCCAAATCATTCCTGATTCCAGCAGCTTCTGCCTACCTTCACTGCCCCCTTCTCCAGGCCGAGTGGCCTCATCTCTTGCCTGAACAGCCTCCCTGCTGCCACTCTCACCCCTGCCGCAGCCAGAGGCTTTTAAAAGTCAGCCCCTAGCTTAGAGTCGTCCAATGGCATTCCTCCATATTAGTGCCAAATGCTAAGTGGGACCATGACCTACCAGGCCCTGTGTCACCTAGCCCCGGCCTGTCTCTGCAAACTCATCCTTCACTCACTGCACTCACTGATGGCCAGACACACTAGCTTTTGTGCTATTCCTTTGAGCATACAAGCACAGTCTGCCTCAGGGCCTTTGCACTTGCTGCTTCCTCTGCCTGGAATGCTTTTCCCAGGATCTTCGCAGGGCTATTCTCTTTACATCTCCCTCCCTCAGGGCTCTGGTCAAGTCTTGCCTTCTCAATGAGCTCCTCCCTGCCCACTATCCCATCTCTCTCTGTTCCTCTTGTCCACTTTGTTTTTCTTTGTACTACACCATTGCAATCTGGCATTTTAGTTTTTTGGGTTTTTTATTTTGTTTTTGTCTGTCTCTTGCCATGAGGATGTAAGCTCCATGAGGCCAGCAACTGATGTGTCCCCAAGCACCTAAAATAATTCCTGGTCCATAGTTGGTGCTCAAGAAATATGTGCTGAATTAATAAATGATACATCTAAGGAGTCACTGGGTAGACCAGTGCCTGATTGCCACGCAGTAAATGCACTAAATCTTAGGTGTGTTCTAAGAGCATCAACACTCCTATTGCTGCCACCTGTGTCATCCGGCATCCCAGGGGCACTGTGGTTTGACCTTGATGGTTTTCCCACCGTACCTCTTGCCCCATCCCACCTCACACTAAAAGCTCGGTAGCCTGAACTGTGGGCTCATGAGCAGTTCCTCAGCTTCCTTGGGCCTCGACTTCCCCCTTTGTAACAAATGAGGTAGGTAGATTTTACCTTCCTACCAGAGACTCTCCAGGGAGTCTCTGCAGCCAGGGCAGGACCTGGGAAGTGTGATTTTGGCCACCACATACAGGTGTTTGCCAAGAGCCAGGTACTGGGCTGGGGCCTTCATATGCGTTAGGTCATTAGCCCTCAGGACACTTCAGCAAGACACTTAATATTGTCTCTCGCTTACAAACCAAGAAACTAAGGCTCAGGGACCTAAGGGGATTTGCCCAGGCTCGGTTAGGGGCCAGTAACGGCATCAGGATTTGAACTCTGCCTCCCTTCAGAGCCAGTGGATAACTACATTATGCTCTCAACAACCCCGTGGGGTAGTGGAATCACTTTACAAATGAGGAAACCCAGGCTCAGAAGGTTTCACGGTAGATTTATTTTTAAGGTTGTATTTATTTATTTGAGAGAGAGAGAGAGAGAGAGCGCGCGAGCACAAGCAGGGAGGAGGAGCAGAGGGAGAGGGAGAAGCAGGCTCTAAACTGAGCAGGGAGCCCGCTGCGGGGCTCAATCCCAGGACCCTGGGATCATGACCTGAGCTGAAGGCAGATGCTTAACTGACTGAGCCACCCAGGCGCCCCTCAAGGTAGATTTATCGTCACCACCATTGTTCTGCTTCCTGAGTGCTCATTCTACTGGAAGTTCTGGGTATGTATTAACGTGACCATTTGACAGATAAGGAAACTGGGTTCAGAGAAATCAAGAACCTCGTCCAGCAGGTCACACGAGGCGTTGCCCCCTGGCTGGGGCATGGCCTCTCCACACACAATGACTTTGCCTTCAGAGGCCCCAGGAGAGGCGGGAGGTACTCACAGCTTGAGGACAGCCGACCGCTTCCCCAGCATCATGTTCACAAAGTCTCGGTAGGAGATGGTGTCGCTGACCCCACCTGTCACCTCTGAGATCATCTTTTTCATCTCCAGGTGGGTCTTGGGGACCCCGAGCTTCTCCATCATCCTCTTTAAAGACATCAGGTCTGCCAGAGGAAAAGCAGATCCATTAATTGGAGACAGGGTGCGGGCCAAGCGAGGAAGCTGGTAGAGCTCCCCTGGCCCCCACGTCCAGGAGAAGCCCTGCAGCACAGCCCCTCCCTGGGGACTGCAGACAAAGGCCTTTCTCCTCCAGAGAGAATGGGCCCATCACACCCTCCCTGCTCTCTTCAGAGAGTAGTATAGACTAGTGGTTAGGGACATGGACTTCGGTTGCAATCCAACTCTGCTCTTCCCGTCTGTGGGACCTGGGGCAAACTACTTAACCTCTCTGAGATTCTGCTCCCATAAGCGGTAAAATGGGTTGACGGGATCATTTGAGAGGGCGCGATGCAGAAGTACCCAGCACAAAGCAGGTGTTTAGTAACGGGGCCGCTACTCTTCACTCTGTTAATGTCTGCTGCGCCCTGAGGTCCGGGTGAGTGTGTGCTCACTGCTCCAGCTCCCTGGGGAGTCACTGCCCAGCAAGGTGGGGTCAGGGAGTTGGCTGGACCCGAGGCAGGGCAGGTCATCCTGCAGGGTGCCGGGCAGCAGCTTCTCTCCATCTGCCACCCCCACCCAGCCGTCCAAGGGCTCCGCCTCGCGGGCAGGGCGAGGGGGCCAAAAATACCCTGCAGAGCAGGAAAACCAACAAAGGAACAAAATTCAAGGAAAACAAGGGAGGCACCAAAAAGTCACTACGCTCCGCAGAATCGCTGCCTCTGACCCCCCGGGCTCCCCAGATCTTAGGCAATTTCCTTCAGATTGTTCTGTGAACAATTGGGCCGGCAAAGGATGGCGGGAGGGAGGCGGGACCGGGGGCCGATTTTTGGGCCAGGGATGTGGTGAGACAGCTCACCCGAGAGCAGGGCGGGCAGAACTGATGCCAGACCCCCAGGTGCCAGGATGTCCAGGGTATTTCAAAGAAAACTAGACATCACTCTGTGGGGAAGAGTGAGCGGTCTCCCACATGCTGCTGGCCAGGCTCGAAATTGGCAAGACCTTTCTGGAAGGCAATTTGGCAAGATGCTTCAAAAGCCTTTGACCCAGAATGTCTAATTCCTGAGATTTACTCTAAAGAAATAACTGGCGATGTGGACGAAGATTCATGTACAAAGATGCTCTTCACAGGACTATCAAAAGTAGTTAAAATTGGAACTAATTGCGTGATATTAAGGCACTGGCTGAATAAGTTATAGTCCAGCCCCGCAGTGGAATATTACCCAGCCATTAATTATATTTCAAAAGAAAAGTTAATCGTATGTCAAAGCACTCACAATATATTATTTTTTAAAAAGGAGTTTCTAAAATGGTTATAAAACAGCATTTGTGATTAGAACAAAGGGTGGAAAGATATAAACCAAAATGTTCAGAGCAGTTATTTCTGGGAGGGAGGACTGCGGTTGACTTATTTTTGTCTTTGCGCTTTACTGTGTTTTCCAGAAGTTTTTATGATGAAGATGTATTGCTTTGATAACCCCATTTTTTTTTTCCTAAAGGAGAGCAAGGATAAAAATATTTAAAAAGGAGAAGAAGGAGACAAGACAGAGGAGGGGTAGAAATGCCGCAGAAGCGGCAGCACTGAGCTCAGGGCAAAACACAGGAGGGAAAGCCAGTTTGGGAACCAAAGGCTGGGATCTGGACCCTGGGCTGACCACTTAACCACCATGTGCCCCAGGAGAGTCAAGTTCACCCTGCCGAGCCTCGGCTTCCTCGTCTGTAAAACGGGGATAATTAAGCTGGCCTTGATCATGTTATAGCATTACTTGTGAAGGTCAAGGCATAGTCTTGGACCCAAGGGCCAAGGGACAGGCGTTTGTCACCCCCCGCGCCTGGACCACGCGATATAATCAGGGTCTGCTGGAAGAGGGAAGCAATGTACTCAGAAGCACGGTATCCAAATGCAAGGACAAAGGAACTGCCAGCCCCACCCCACCCCCAGGGCCAGGGCGGCAAGAGCCCGAGCATCTCCAACCCTGGGCAGGGGTGGCACCTGGCGTGGAGGGCTGAGACATGCGCAGGGAGGTGAGTGGGAGGGACTCAGTGAGGAGAGGAGTCTGGGGGCAGTGGATCCAGGGTAGAAGGCAGCCAGGCTTAAGGCCGGCGCGCCGGCTTGGCCCGTCAGGGAAGCTTCAGTGCGTGCCCCTCACCCACACAGGCGGGCCAGTGGGGCTCTTTGGACCCTCATACCCTCCACCCACCGGACGCCCTCCTCCCCTGCAGTCGAGGCCTCACTTACCAATCTCGCCCTCATTGTTCAGGTCAAACTCCATGTACTTCTCTGAAATCACAGAGCAAAAACTGGAGTTAGCTCAGAAGCAGGGTCCCAGAGATGCGCTTGAGGGCAACTGGCTGGGTCCCCAGGGAGCCCACACCATCCTCCTCACCTCCTCACTTGGGGGTCTTGACATGAGACCCATTATCTCAGCCATTGTCTCTGGAGAAAGAGCTCGCCCTGCCTGCACCCCTCTCCCACGGGCGCCATGGAACAAGGTGCTAGGGGCCATTGTGACTCTCTGCTGAGGAGGGCAGCTACTTCCTCCCAGGTCCCCACCAGCATGAGCTCGCTGCATCACATTGGCTCCAAACTGACTAGAACAGATTCCCAGGCCCTGATCTACGGGCGCAGTGGCTTTGGGAAGGGTGGGGTGGGGTGGGGTAGGGGCAGGAATCGGTATGTTCTAGAGTGTCTCAGGTGATTCTGAGCCGGGTGTGGGAGTCACCGATTTAAGGAGTCCCTGCGGTTCTGAACCTTTGGCGGTGGGGGGGCTGTGGGCACCACTAAGAATCTGATGCTCTCCTGAGAGAAATGCCGTGAACCTGCCCTTGACCCAGGTGGCACATAGTGTCCAGGGGTACACAGACCCTCCCCATCAAACCTCACCTACAGACCTTGAGTGAAGCCTCTCTGATCAAAGGGTCCAGGGAATCTCCAACAGTGAGAGAGGATAGGTGGAGCAATGAGCTTGGTGTCCTCTGGCAAGGACAGCATGTGGCCCTGGGCAGGTCCCCACCCCCCCACACACACCACAAAAAAACAGGGTCCTCTTGGTCTAGTCTGCACTGAACAGCCAGTATGAGAAGGCCAAGGTCTTCCCAGTGGCCGGAGTGGTCCCTGTGACCTTCCTGAGGGTCTGCCCTCCAGCCTCTCGGGCTGCCTCTTCCTCCCTCGCCTCTGCTCCACTCCAGCTGGTCCTGCTGCTCCTGGCCCATCCCTCCACCTCACCCACCCCACCACCCCCTCCCTGCCGCACTCCTGCTGGGGAGTGCTGCCCCTCGGCCTAGATGTTCCTCCCAGGTATTCTCCGGGCCCCCGCTCGTGCTTTCAGGGCTCCCCAGCCTTTCTGGTGGGGCACTGCCACCCCCACAAAGCCCCTACAGCCATCTGTGTGCTCTGCAGCGTCCTTCTGTTCCCCACTCCCTTCCCTGCAGCACATAAGCTCCTTTACTCAGGGCTCTCTGTGCCCCATTGCACCCCAGGCCTGAAGTGGGGCCGGCATGTAGTAGGTGCTCATTTGGAGGTCAAATGAGTGAGTGGAAAACCTTTACAGTCCCTTTGATTCCAAGCTAAGTTCCCGTGGTTCCAGTCCACCCCGATGGACCCAAGCCTAAGGTCCCAGTGAAGACAAGGAGACAAGAGCTCTGTCCCTCCTCCCAGAGCCACCTCTGGAGAGGGACCCCCCCCCCCTTGGTACCCAGGGATAAGGGAATGGACCGCTCCTGCTTTGCGTGGCTCTGCCGGGGGTGGCGGGACGGGTTGGTGGAACGGGGCAGGGATGGGGATGTCTTTGTTCTAGTTCCTCTTTTTGTTAATGTAAACAGCCCCACTGGGTAATGGTTCAGAGCAGGGGATTTTGGAGAGAGACCAACAGGTGATCAAGCCTGAACTCTGCCATGGGCAGGCTGTGTGACCCCATACAAGTGACCCCACCTCTCTGAACCTGGGTTTCTTCACCTGTAAATTAAAGCTCGCACCCACCTCCCTCCTGGCTGACTTGGGATGACCCGGGGAGCTCACAAACAGCATTCGAAGTGCTTCCCACAAGGTCAACACTCAACAAAGGCTTCACCATCAGGGTCCTGCCTAAGGACAACGAAGCTGTGAACAGCTTGAGGAGCACTTGGCAGGCTCTTTGCCTTGGAGCAGGGAGGATGTCCACATCACCAAGACTTGGGGGAGGGGAGAGGCGGCCTCGAAGATATTCGTGGGGGAGGGGGGATGTGGCCTGGAGGATATTCGTCGAGGTCCTCCAGTGGCCAGGGCTCCCTGCACGCCGAGAGCATCTCCCAGGCAGGAAAGGTGGGTCTGCCCTGCTCCTTATGTGCACGGCTCCTCTCCTTTCGGGCTGCTGGCTGGGAACCAAGCGCCGGGGCCCGGAACAGAGGGACCTTTATGCCGCCCCCTCCCCGCGCGGGCTCCCGGGCCCTGTTTTCTTTTCATCCTGTGCTGCTGGGATTCAATGGGCAGAAACTCTGCCCCCTGCCCCACTGTGGCGACACAAACGTCCATTCTGCACAGGGGCTCCCGAGCCGCTCCCCCGCGGAGGGGAGAGGCCAGGGCTGCTACAAAGGGCTGATTGTGTGCTGGGGCCCCAGGAGCGAGCAGGGCCTGGGCAGCAGCGGACAGGAGCCAGCCTGAGCCCTGCCTGCCTGGCAGCTGGAGGGATTGGTGGGGGGGAGGCTGCGGGCAAGGGTGAGGGGCCTGGGGTAGCATGGAGGCAGGTAGAGGGGTGGGCACCCCATCTCACAGCCTTCCAGGAGGAGGGCGTTCTGGAAGAAGCAGGGGGCGCAGGCTGGCCTTGTGGGGTAAGAAATCCTATGCGCCAGGGGGCCAGCCCAGCTCTCCCGGGAGGGTGGCGCAGACAGCCCCAGCTTACCTTTGAAGGCGGCGAGCTTCTCTGGCAGGGTCTCTTCATCGCTGTACTTCTGGTCACAGAGAAACTCCTTCAAAGATAAAGTACAGCACTGAGCCCTGGGTCAGCAGGCAGAACTTGCTGACATGTAGGCCCATGGTCCCAGTGTCTGCTCCCATGCCAGGTGGCCGGCCTTGACCGGGGAGGGCAGGAGGCTCCAGTGTTTGTCCTGGCTCCCTGTCAATCCCTAGAGGCAGATCTGCAGGAATCTGCCCCGTGGGCAGGAAGTACGCTTGGCAGCCCAGGGCGGGGCCCGGAGGCTCTGCCCTTAAACACCTTCAGCCAGCCTCTGAATTACCAGTGTAGGGACCTGGGCCTCCTCCCCCAGGGCACCCCGGCTCCAAGATCCATGAAGCTGTTAGCCCCAAACACAAGCTGCCGGGTTTCCAGCCTTAACTTCTTAAGTGTATGACCCTAGCTTATTAATTCCTCCCTAGATCTCTATTGTTTTATCTGACAAATGGGTACAATCATCACAGCTACTTCTCAAGTTTTAAGAGACTCCAAGGAGAGTGTACGTATGACTCTTGGCATAAAGCAAGTGCTCAATAAACAGCAGCTACTGCGTTGTTAGTCTTTGCTCCAGCCAGAAAATGATTGTATATGGCTTGGGAGCTTGGATTGTATATAGTTCTTGTCCATGTCCTCACCTGTAAAACAGGGCCACCTTCCCCTCAAGTGATGCCTTTCAGAACAAGATGTGCAGGAGGGGGAGGGGTGTGGGACACAAGCAATGGCCTCCAGAATGAAACACCAACGCGCATGATCTCTTAGGCTCTCCCAGTGGGCCCACAAATTAGCTCTATATTACTTCCATTTTACAGATGAGGGAACTGAGGCTCACCCAGGCAGAGCTTTCACCTCGGCTCTGACTCCTGCAGAGCCCGCATCCCTAACCCCGACACTTAAAGATGGGCAGATAGCAGGCATTCATCCGGCTTCAAAACAAAACACCACTAATTAGTAAGCACCTGTTATGCTGGGCACAGTGCCAGGCAGCTTGCTTGCCTTGTTGCTAATCAAGCCGCCCTAGAACCTGTATTCAGATGGGAAAGCAGGGGATATGTCCCCACCCTAGCCCCGGACTCTGCAAATCCCCTCTCTTCCCTGGACCTCGCTTTCCCCATTACTGAGCAGACCGGACATGGGCATCGCCCCCTCCTTCAACTGTTTTTGAGAGACCACGGGGTACACGGCTCTGGTGGAGGCATCAAGGGAGCAGGTGAGACCAGGGAAATAAGGTCCTTATTGTGAAATTACAAGAAGCTCGTGTTTAAAATGATGTTAAATGTTATCTAGATCCGCCACTCCATCTGTTTCTAGATTCCTGCTGCCATATCCCACTAACCGGTGACCAAGTCTGTACTTAAGGCATCTCCCGGGAGATGGACACAAGACCTTCCCAGTCTGCCGTGTAAACCCCCAAGAGCTTTAATGTAGGAGAATGAATAGGAGAATAACTGATAATAAAGTACTCTGGGTTTGGGTCTCAGTCCCCCCCTCACTAGCTGTGAAATGGGCACAAGGGTATCCATCTCCTCGGGCACCTGCCCCTCAACGGGGATAACCCACTGTGAACACTCAGTACCAGGTTTCGTTGTCAGCCCTCGAGAAGCAGCGGGTATGACTAAATGTGAGGCAGAATAGGGTCCCTTCGAGGGTTCACGTTCTTCCACATTAACTCAACCCCCTTCGACAGAGAAGGAGCTATCCACCTGCAAGTGTGGCTCCCCTCGTTGGTTCTGGGGGCTCTGTTCTACCCCTTGAGCCCAATTTGCCTGGATCCCTAGAGGGGGTCAGTACCTATTGCGGACAAGCTCTGGCCGGTGCAGGATTTCTGCTTTGGGAGGGCACTGTGCTGTCTCATTAGAGTGGGAACGGTAGGGCCGGAGGTTAGATGACATGTGTGAAGTCCCTATAGCTAGGAAGGCACAGGCTTGGTTTGGAACCTGAGTGTTGGACTCCCGGGTCCAGGCCTCCAGCAGCCTAGCGGAGGGCAACCCCAGCGCCCACGGTGTGGATCGGCCACAGCTTCACATCGGATCTCATTACCAGGTGCCACGCTGGGTCCTGCCCCCACTTAGCCGAAGCTGGGCTACCCTCCTCCTGGCTGGCTCTGTCCAGGACTTCTCTTCATCTTGGCTCCCTCTCGTAGCTCCCCCCACCCCACCCCCACCCCATTCTCTGACCCAAAGTAGGACAATTAACTCTTGTGTGTGGCCCCGAGCAAACCAGGCACCTCCTGGGGTCACAGGTCCAGTGATCTGCACAGCAGAGGGACAACTAGGTCGGTGGTTCCCAGACTTCGGGATAATGCAGAAGGAAATGTTTCCCCAAAAAGTAAAAAATAGAGGGAGGTGCCACGAGTTCAAAACAGGACATTTCGGGGGCGCCTGGGTGGCACAGTCGGTTCAGAGTCCGACTCTTGGTTTCGGCTCAGGTCATGATCTGGGGGTCCTGAGATCGAGCCCCATGTTGGGCTCTGCACTCAGCATGGACTCGGCTTACCCCTCTCCCACTGCTCCCCCCAACCCTGCTCTCTCTCTCTCTCATAAATAAAATCTTTTTAAAAAAGGACATTTCATAAAAGTGGGAAGTTCGTAATTTTTAAATGGAATCCATTTAGCCTATGTTCGGTTCACTGCATCGCCCCCTGTTCCCTCTGCTTTACCATTTCGGGAACTGGAAAACCTTCTCAGGGGAGGCACAAGGCTACAGGCAAGGCCCAACATCTGGGAACCTCTGGCAAGAGTCCTGGGGGCCCTCCCAGCTCCTGCCTTCTGGTCGAACAGAAATCCTGCACCAGCCAGAGCCTGTCCCCAACAGGTAGCAACCCCCTGCGGGGATCCAGGCACATTGGGCTCAAGGGGTAGGACATGGCCCCTTGTCTTGGAGACAAATCACACACAAACGATCACAGGACAACCAGGCAGTGACTCCTGTTCACTGGGCCCGACCCCGGGCTGGCAGGTACAGCAACCCTGGGGGGGCCATGATTATTGTCTTCTCACCGAGGAAGCCAGTTTTCTCCTTCGCACTTCTGACCACCTAACATGCTGTTTTATTGGTGCTCTCTCCCCCCACTGCTAAAGTGAGTGCCTCAACCACCCTGGCCTCCTTTCTGGGTCTCCCCCATGCCAGGCTTGCTCCCACCTAGGGACTCTGCCCTTGGCTGTGCACCCTCCCTGCAGCGCTCATCCCCCCGACACCTGCATGGCTCTCCCCCTCACCTCCTAACACAATTGACAATGTGGTGCTTATTAAGGGTGTCGTCCATGGTCTGTCTCCCCTGCTACAGTGTAGGCTGCACATAGTAGGTGCTCAATAAATACCTGCAGGCTGAGTGAATGAACTGAAACCCAGAGAGGATAAAGAACTTGCCCAGGGGCACCTTGGTGGCTCAGTCGTTAAGCGTCTGCCTTCAGCTCAGGTCATGGTCCCGGGGTCCTGGGATCGAGCCCCGTGTCGGGCTCCCTGCTCAGTGGGAAGCCTGCTTCTCCCTCTCCCACTCCCCCTGCTTGTGTTCCCTCTCTCGCTGTGTCTCTCTCTGTCAAATAAATAAAATCTTAAAAAAAAAAAAAGAACTTGCTCAAAAGCAGTATAGCTACCAAGTGACCGAGCTGGGATTAAAGACCACAGTGGAGACTGTCCCAGTCCTCCACAGAGCTGAGGAATCCAAGTGACCCAAGGTGGTGGCTGTTGGAAGGAGGCCGGGGGTGGGGGGTGGGGGGGAAGGCAAGCCTTTGGCCACAGATGCCAGGAGGATGAGCTTACTCTCTCATGCCCCAGAGATGCCTAGCACCCAGCAGTGCCCAGCATATAGTAGGGGCTCAGGAAACATCTGTTGACTGGAGAGGCCTGGCATTCAGCCTGGAATCACTTTCTCCACTCTCCACCCCGCAAGGGTGGGGCAACTCTGCAAACGTGCACACGTACCACACAGACTGGAGGGGCTCAGAGATGGGAATCCCATTTTTCCTTAGAGCCCCAAATGACAAGGGCTTGAGCCACAGAGTGGCCAGTGGCCCCATGGGAGAGGCATCTGACCCGTTCATGCGTGGGTGGGCAAGCCTTGCTGACCCCAGGCTTGGGGCAGCTGCGTGGACCAGGCCTTTGGCAGGGCACCAGGGACCGGGCAGGTGGGCCACAGAAACAGGAGTTTCCATTGGCGGGGCTGCCATCTCTCCCCCCCACCCCACCGGCTCCACGCTTTGGATTCTTGGTTCCTGCTCATGCACAGCCCTCAGCCTCCCCACTTCCAGGTGTCCTCCCACCCCCACCCCGGATCCTTGCCCAGCCTCGGGGCACAGCCATGCCCAGCAGGCAGGTACCCTGGGTCCCCAAGAAGAGGAGAAAGAGAAGCCACTGCAGATGTTTGGAACAAAAGCAAAAGAGGGTGAGCTGGAGCCCCAGAGCCTGGGATCGAACCACGGAGTAGCTGTGTGTAAATGACTTCATTTGTCTGTGCCTTGGTGCCTTCATCTGTAGGAAGGATAAAAACATCTCCTAGGCTTGGCCTGAGAATTGCAGGATGTAAGCAAATACATGAGAAGTGCTCGGACAGTGCCTGGCACCTAGTAAATACTACATAAATGTTAGCCGCTTATTATTGGGACCTCCTAACACTTCTATGCATATAATCCACTTATAACCCCCACAGCTCACCATTCAGACCTTCATCAGCTATTAAACAGATTCAGAAGCAAACTCCCTCCCCTCACTTAGGCTGGCTATGATTTCTCTTTCCCCTTTCTGGGTATTCCCCTTGGATAGATGGGCAACTGAGGCCCAGAGACGTTGCTCAACTTGCTCAACATTACAAAGTTTTAACAATTCAAGCAAAGTCTACCTCCCTTCACCATCCCAGCTCCTTCCCTGCCCCAAACAAGGAGAGGGTGGCCTGGCCACAGGTTTCTGGGCAAAGAAAGTCAATACCAAGAGTTACCTTTCCTCTTGGGCAGCTGCAGAAGGTTATTCCAGGGGCCAGGGAACCACTCTATAGCCCTCTAGGGGGATGCAGAGGGTGTTTGGATGCATTCCTCCACCCCCATGCCCCTCTCCCACTCCAACTCACTGTCCCCAAAGACCAGTTTTTCCAGCTGCTGAAACTGCTGTTAGGGCCTCTAGGGATGAGGGGTGCAGGGGGCCCCTGGGCTCTGAAATGGTGGCCTGGTCAGTCCCTGGCAAAGACCAGAATCCGCAAGTGGGCAGGAGTCTGGGGTCAAAAACAGGGAACTGTGAGCCTCAACCTGGAGTGTCCACGGGCAAGGCCCAGGAAGGTGGCGGGACTCTGCTAAACACGCACACAGGCACAGAACCTGGACGGGACTGCTCAGAGCATCCGGCTTGTCCTCTTTGTTCCATAGCTGGGGAAACTGAGGCCCCAGAAGGGAAAGTCTTGCCTCAAGCCACAGTGGTCAGGACCCACATAAACTCCTGGGGTGCGGGGTGTGCGGGTCAGGGGGCTTGGTGGGGGGAGGTTGAATCGAGTTGCCTGGGTTCAAATCCCAGCTCCAGCACTTGCTAGCTCTGTGGCCCTGGGCAACTTGCTTTACCACTCTGGGCCTCAGCTTCCTCATCCGAAAGATGCGATCATAATGATAGAACCTCCTCATTGGGTTGGTGTACGGATTAAATGAGCTAACTGCATAGAGACAGCCTGGCTCCTAGCACACTCACTAAGTGTTAGCAGTTACTACGATGTGTTTGGACTGCCCAAACTCAAGCCTCACCAAGAGATAAACGTGAGCAGGGGAAGGGCAGAGACCTACCCACAACTCTCTCTGTCCCATACTGCGCCACGGAGTCCTCCTGGTAAGCCGCGACCCTTTGGCCATCCCTCTGCAAGGGCAAGCTTTGATTTGTCCTTGGACACCTGGCAGACTTGGCAGTGACGGGCCATCCACACGGGACAGAGTGCTCCCACCTCGGCCCCAGGGGACGGCCCCTGCTCGCCGCTGCCTCTCCCTGTCCTCTCCAACCTCTGACGCACATCAGAATCTACCCCTCATCCCTGGGAGCCCCATCTAGGCACTTGTGCCGGGAAGGGAATGTTTCCAAAACCAGCTGAGGTTGGCAGCCCCTGTTGGGTCCGGCCTTCCGGATCCCTGCCACCTGCCGCCTCTCCCCTCCTTAATTCTCTTTCTGGGCTGGTACCTCTAGCACCTGTTCCCAGAGGCTTGCTCCTGGCCCTCCAGGCTTGTCTTTATATATTAGCTGCAGCAGAGTTTTGGGGCGGGCAGCTATCACCATCTTGGAGGCCATCCAAGGAGCTGGTGGCTGAAGCCCTGGGCAAAACCCCCAAGGACAGGTAGCACCATACCGGGCCTGGGCCAAGATACCTCTGATGCAACCCACAGGCTCTTAAAGGACCAGGGCCAGGTCTGTGCCTGGTGCCTGGTGTGCAAGCGCCTGTAACGTGCCCCACAAGGACAGCAGGCTCACATTCCCCACAGCAGCTCTGGGGCCTCAGCTGGATGCAGCATCCTTGCCAGCAGATGGGGCAGCTGAAGAAAAACACCCCACAGACTACACAAATGAAGCAGACCCGACAGAAATTCCATCCTCGGTTTCCTGGGACGCGGCCATGCCAAGGTCGAGACCGGCTGTACCTGCGGGGACACTGAATCCTCGGAGGTTCACGTGGCCGCTTATCACCATCTCCCTTATAATATATTAAGGAAGAGCAAGAGAGACGGGTGCCTGGCGATGCCAGCTGGGCACATTCACCGGGCAGGGACAGACAGGGTGGCACAGGGTACACAGGGAAAGAGACGCACCTGCGTAGTGCCTGGCTCAGGCCTCAGAGGTCCCCTGTTGCCGGGGCAGGTTGGGGACATATAACACCGGGGCACGGATCCGCAGCCTGCCCTGTCCAACGCTTCCCAGTACAGACAGTGCGTGGGCTCTGAAATAACCACTAGGCCCTTAAATGCTGCAGGGAATGCCAAGTGCCCTTCACTCGACCCAGGAGGGCTGGGAAGGTGAGACAGTAGCCAGAGATCCTTATCACCTAGGCAGGAGAGTCCTGTGTCACAGGCGACCTGGCGGACAGGGTCCCGGGAGGGCCACGGGTGCTGTCAGAGTCAGAATCCCTGCTCTGCCACTTCCTGGCTGGGTGACCTTGGGCAGGTGACTTCACCGAGGCTGTTTCCTCATCTCTAAAACGTGAGCCTGAGTAATCCCTGTCCCACGGGGATGTTTATAGATTCCTCCTGCACATCTATCTAATCAAGTGCTCCATTCAGAGGAGTCACTGAGATAATGCACGTCAAGTCCTACGCATGGGGCAGAGGCACGACCCACGTTATTGGTTCGAGATCCTGGCCCCTGGATGGTTACAGATGCAGCCCTCGCCATCCTCTGGGCTCCTCCTGCTCAGTCCCAAGGGTGAGGGCACTCTGCGGGGCACCCTCCCCGCTCCCCCCCCACCCCCCAGCCTCACTGCTTCTCTCTGTCCCTGTGGGAAGCTGGAGAGAATTTGTCCTGTTGCCATATAAGGCCAGGCCTGGCTGGCCCGGGGTCACCTGCCATGCCACCAAGGCTCAGGGAATGTCAGCTATGTGGGGGGGAGTAGGAGGCGCACGCAGGTCCTGCCCACTTCAGTAGTGCCGAGAACGCCCACATGCCCTTGCACGCGCACGCACACGCACACACAGGGCAGACAGGCTGGCTTCAGGCAATTTACTCAGCCCCTCTGAGTCTTGTTTTCCGTAAAATGGGAATAGATACACAAGATGAGAGTGAGCGTTCCATGCGATAATGCCCAGAGCACTCCTGGCACGCTGCCCAGCTCATGCCAAGGGCTCAGAAAATGATCACAAAAACTAGAGCGAAACCAAAAAAAGTGCATTTCCATGCAGCCCCCCAGGACCCTCCAGGTCCACCCAAGTCTCCTTCTACTTTTGCTCCTGACCCTTGTAACAACAATAGCTGACACTGAGCTGCCCTGCTATCGTCTGGAAGCTGGCCTGGCCCTGGGGTGGGGGGAAGGCCCCAGAGGGAACTGGGGTGTTGGCCCGGAGAAGCCCCCAAGCACATGCAGCCCAGTGAGTCATGAAGCCCCATCCTCCAGGCACTCCTGCTTCCGCAGGGCCACCGGGAAACTGCTCCATCTGGCCCCCCAGAAGCCCTGCTCCAGTGGAGGCAGTGAAGCTGCTCCCCAAAGAAAGGCAGTCTTTTCTGGGCTTCTGGGCTGACAACATGGTTCCCTCTAGAATCTGCCCACCCCGGGGAACTTCTGCTGTGGTCACGGTCATGGGTGAAGCGGACTCAGACCCTCAAACAGAGCGACTCCCTCAGTCTGCAAAGAGCTCCTGTCTGCTCATCTCCACTGACTGTCGCAGGGACAGAGCAGGGATCACTGCTCCCATTTCAGGCTGGGAAGACTAAGGTTCTGCCGCATGGAAGGGTGCAGCCCATGGCTTGTCTCAGACCTTGCCCCTGGGATTCCACTCCCTGCGTCTTCAAGCACCAAACAAACCGATGACACAATCATGACAGCTCTGTGTCTTACACAGATTATCTCGCTGAAAAATCACCGCAACCAAACTACCATTATCTCAAGTGGCGTGCCCAAGGTCATACAGCCAGCGAGCGCTCTGCCCACCCCTTCATCCCCACTCAGGACTCCACACTATGGCGGGGGGCGGGGGGGGCTTGACCTCCTGGGGGTGAGGGTGCAGCTTAAACTTCTGGTTTGATCCTGGAGTCCCCTTCCTCTGGTTTGATCCAGCAGCCGGACAACAGCCTGGGTTCGCATGGGGCGGGGCTCAGAAAAGCTTCTGGGCAGGGAAAGGACACTAGACCGCAAACTCTATCACAGGCTTCTGTGTGGCCTTAGCCAGCTGCCTGCCCTCTCTGGGCTTTGGGGTCCCCATGGCCCCCTCTTGCTCACTTTCTCCAGTCCCAGCACTGTTCAGATCAGCCCGTGAGAGCCACAGCCCCACCTCCTTCCGAGCCAAGCCAGTCCACCTCCCAAACCACCCGGTAGCCTACCGCACGCCCCTGCCCTGGTTTGCCCCCCACCAAGGGCAGGACTGGCACGGAAGTCCCACACATTCTCAGCAGCTGTGGTTTGTCTGACCGTAGAGCCCTCTCCCCCATCTCCAGCTGTCTCTGGCTCAGGGTCCTGCTGGCTGCGGGTGGATTCAGCCAGCTTGGAACCCGCCCTGTCGAGTGGCCCAGGGGGCTGTATGAGGTCAGGGTTTCAGGCTTCTGTCCAGGTGGCAGGAGCAGCCAAGACCAAGGGCGGGCTGGCTGCAGAGTAAACTGGGAGGGAGCCCAGCAACCTGGACCCCTGAGAGCCCCGGCCGCACGTCCAGTCTCCCTTTCAGCTGTGCTCAAGACAGCCCCGAGAGGCAGGGTGATGATGGTACAGAAGGGACTAGAGTTGACTTGGGAGGGACCCTGGGGCCCCAGAGCCTTGCTTGGGATTCCTACAGCCAGCGAGATGAAATCATATAGGCTGCCTCCCTCCAGACACTCCAAAAAAAAAAAAAAAAAAATCAAGGAGGGAATCAAGACGGCCAGCCCAGGCGAGAAGAAATACTACCAAATAGGACAGCCGTGCCACAGCCCCCAGACCCACCTCCATGCAGCCTTGACCCGGACCCTGCTGACCATCACCAGCTTCCCATTTGGGGACTCTAAGCTGGGCTTGGACCTTCGGTGCCCTGCAGCTGAGGGAGCCAGCAGGGGGAAATGCCCAGCCTTGTTTCAGTGGACATGCCTCTGCGGCCTGTTAGGAGGGGGTCTGGGAGATGTCGACCTTAGGAAAGAATTCTCTCACCGTCCACAGGAAGTCATCCCTCCCGCCAGCTACTGAACCATGCACACTGCATGCCTTCCCTCGGTGAGTCCTCATGGTGACCCCAACTTCGTTCTGAGATTGGGGTACCAGATGGAGGCCAGGCCTGAGTACAGATCTCACAGAATCCCGAAGCTCAGCCTGTGCTGCCTTTGAGCTTTGGCCAATCCAGGCAGACCCTGACACTTCTCCTTATCTTCTAGAATTTAGGTGGTCATTAAGCAAATGTTTACGAAGCTCCCATTGTGTGCCTGGCAACAGCAGATTTCTATAAAGAAATTCACAAGGTCCAACAAGAAAAGCATCAAGTGTCTCAGAGGACCTTTCCTAAAAGCTGGAGCGAGAAAGAGTTATGGGGTGGGGTGGGGGTGAGGCCTTGCATTTTCTCTGGAGGAGGGAGCACCGGCCTGCAGTCTGGACCCCGGGTTCTAAAGGCAGCCCCACCTGGACTTGCCGGGCCATCTCGGGGCAGCCACCACCTCCTGGGGGTGAGGGTGCAGCTTAAACTTCTG